AAGGAGCCCACTGGCCTTGTCATGCTATAAGTGCGAGGCGCATATAAACGGAGCGCAATGATTGCCATCTTAGTATAGGTTATGACACTGAATTTGGGACTCCCGGCACTTAGGATCCAAAGTATCAGGAGTTTTTCCCGCAATTGGTTTAGGCAGGAAGAAGCTTTGGAACTGTGGAGATGTGTCGCTGAGCCAGAAAGTGAAGCACGGTGAGCCAGTGGGCATCTCTATCCCCAAGGTGACGGTCCCTTGTGGAATTCGATCCAGCCAGAAGTTGTTAGTAATATATACTTTTTGGTATGTGAAGTTCGGCTTGTGGTTGGTGTCGGGCGCTTGATTTGGCTTAGGTCCGGCTGGCGAGAATGCGATTTATCGACAATCAGATAGCATAAACCAGGGTGTTTAATTATGTTTGAATGAGGTCAGGCCTCCGTATGGATTTGATCATTAATGGCTGGTGCCCGTGGTGCTGCGTGAATTTGACATTCGACCTCAGTCGATTGAATTAATCCAAAAGTTAAGTGACAGTCATTCTTGTTTGATATAGGTTACTCTTCCTCCAATTCGATTCATTAGGATCTTGGCCTCGACTTGAGAACGTTTTATCTGGATTTTTAATGACTATTGCTATGAGTTGCCCTCAATACATTTGTCAGTAAGATAATGTCGTTATGCTCATAACCCTTATATAAGACTTGTCGATCCAAACTTGTGTTTTAATTCATCCTCATATATTCCTGATTTGATATTTGTAGGTAATAAGCTTCCCGCAAAGTACAATCATGTCTAGGCCAGCTCTTGTATATGGCACTCAATACAATGCTTTTATATACTTAGTGCATTTCCTTTTCCGCTTTTCCAGAAACCTGAGGGTAGTTTTGTCGGCGATAAATGGGGCGAGATTGATACGCGATTCGCATTCTGTGCAATTGCCTCACTTTGTTTGACAGGCCATCTGAAGCCAGGCCATCCACCTCCAGCAAAAGCAAAACGCGGCTCCGAAACGTCGGTTGGCAGTAGGGTGCCCGGAGTCGATCTCGACAAAACGGCCAACTATTTAGTGCGCTGTCAAAACTTGGATGGCGGCTTTTCTACTAGACCAGGCAGTGAGTCACACGCCGGACAGGCTTACTGCGTAATCGGAGCGATGGCATTGCTCGGTCAGTTGCGCCGGTTGGACACGGAGCGTGCAGCCTGGTGGCTGGCCGAACGACAGTTGCCTAGTGGAGGTCTAAATGGTAGACCTGAGAAGCAGCCTGATGTTTGCTATTCTTGGTGAGTTTATAAATAAGCCACTTATTTCACGTAAGACGCCAAATAGCCAGATCAATGTTAAGAGTGTTCTGGTTCAATTTTGAGGAAGAATCCTCGTATTCATGCCCTCAGAGGAACATCATCGAGATATCTGGAAACTCAAGCAGTGTAATATTAGGAAATGTTGCAGAATAAGTTAATTGCAAAAATCTTTTAAGTCTCAGAGTTTGCACATCTAGGTGGGATATGCTCTCACTCGGCCAATCTTGATTTATTATCCACATATCTACATTTTATTTGATATTCAATTAATCATGTAGCTCAATATCATTAGAGTCCGAACAAGAAGGAAAGACTATGGGATAAAGAAATATAAGCGGAGCTTGTGCTTATTTGGGCAATTTGGGTAAATCATAAAGGAAAACTTAGGGGAATGAGGGAACTCTGAGTAAGGAAGAG